ACGTGACGCTAGTGTACGACCTAGAAAAAGCGTTACACGAAAAATTGCAGCGTGGCGACTCTCATTCTTCTCTCTGCTAGAATTATACTCTCTCTCTCTCGGCTTTTTTCTAAACAAAGGTTAGGTAGGTTGCGCGATTTCCATTGGGCGCATTCAGGAGACAACCGTTGAGCATCGTCTTGTCAACACTCGACGTTGATTTGTTGGTTCTAGAAGTAAGAACTAATCACGTTCGATTGCTACTCAACAGTTATGTCTCCTGAACGCACCCATTACTATATTTGACAGCCAATCATGTGATAATGTGTAATACACTGTGTCGTCTGTGTACCTTGCTGGAAAACGCCCATTATAATTCAGTATCGCAACAACGTAATATCGAATACGGTCAAATGAAATAGATTCATTTCCGCTTCTTAAACTTATACAATCGATATTAATTGAATACTTATTCAAATGAATTTAATTATTATCAAGCTACACTTATTAACATTTATTAAAAAAAAGTTTTTGTCAGTCTTTGTGTCGCTCTACAGCGTAGGTTAGGACTGATGATCTAATATTGAACAAGAAATTTTGTTGCTGTGGAATTTAAAAATTATAAAACAGCTTTAGGAAAAAAAAATCGATGATGAGATGTGTAAGATTTCAAAGCGATAAAAGACCGCATTGGAATGCGAGAGAAGGTAATTTTGTAACCATTTCCTTTTGATTATATTAATCTCTAGTTATATTGTTAATATATATCAATGTGTATATGATTCATATAGTTGCAGAAAACGTGACGACGAATGAGAAAGTAGATAAGAATAATGACAACTCTTCTGAAAAATATGATGGATGTGCAATTTCCAATCATAGCACACCAGTTACAAGTAGACAAAATACGAACAATGTTGAAGAATTACAAGAGCCTGATCATTATCAAAGTCCAATTTTGCTTCCATGTACGCAAGAGGGTGGTAATGAGGTTGCGTGGGATTGGCATAGTTCTCTTAGGAAAACTCCTGAAAGTAGAAATAAAGAACAAAATGTCCATTGTGAGACGCCTAAAGGAACTAAGCTGTTGCACAAAAAAAGGAACTCGGATTCACCTTTGTTGTACAAGCCACTTAAAAGAAAGACCATTAATATGGAAAATATAGAAAACATTGGACAATTTGCAGCTGAGTTACAAGCATTAACCAAACAGATGAGTGTTATAAAACACAATGACCATGATCATTTAAATAATCAAGCCGAGAAAGAAGTGCCGATCTTAGAAGATACAAACTACAAAGAAGAAATGTCAACAAATGAAGATAACAAGCAGAAATCCATTGAAGAAGTCAATGACCATAACAATTTTATTAAGACAGAAAATTATGGTGATTTATTCGATGATTCGATAGATTATGATATGATTAGATGCACTCAAGAGATAGAAGAGAAATTAAATTCGATCGTGGACAAAGATAATTCTACACATTCAGAGCCAAGTGTCAAGAAAGAAGAATTGTCTCAAGCATCTCATACAAATAATGCATCCAATAAAAATACTATACAGTCTACTTCTAATGAAAATTTTAGAGAATTGTCAACTGAAAATAGCTTTCACAGAAGTACAAATAATAATAACACATTAAAGACATACTCAAAATTATCGTTGAAAAAGGATTCAGATTCTAGTATACATATTGCAAAACAGACAGATAAAAACTTGTATAAATCGTGTCTGAGCAACAACAATATGATACATTCCAATATCAGAGACCCATGTGACGACAAGAAATTATTAAAAAATAAAGTTACAAAATCATTTGATTTTCCTGATGACTCTTTTGATGATTGTTTAGCAGCCTGTATCGAGGAGGAAAAATTATTACCAGCAATGTTCGATTCTTTGGTTGATAGAAACGATACTATGAAATCTGAAGCTAGTTATGGACGTTTGACTCATGCGCCATTAAAATTGGAAGCCAACTCTTTTAAGTTTACATTGAAGGATGAAACGTCTAGCGCTAACTTGTCAGCAGATAAAAAGTTTTTTAAGAGCAAAAGTTTATCTGATCAATACATTAGTCAGAACACGATTACGAACACTAAAAATAAAGCAAACCCGATGAGACCCACATTACACCTGAACCCGACCAAAAGCTCGACGATAACGTATACAAGTGTCATGCGTGCCTCCGTAAGTACAAATCCGATTGTTACTAATGGCTGTAAAGTCGAGAATAGTGCAATTTCGTTAATGCGCGGCGCGGATCGAACGCATGGGTCCTATGATGTTAACAGGTGCACAGTAAAAGAAGATGGTGATCGTTTCGTTAGGCACCATTCCACTGGTAATATGAAAAACGATACGAAAGAAAGACTGTCAAAGACTGGTTCGCAGCCGGCTCAGTGTACTCCAGAAGAGATCGAAAGGAAGAGATTGCAGGCTTTAATGAGGCTCCAAGCGAAAAGAAAGCGGTACGCTGAAATGAAGATTACAAATAACATTAATAGGTGAAGAATAAGTGCCTTATCTTCTATTACCTACTTGTTATTTGAAAGTGATATTTTATACTTTCTTAACTACATATAATCCTGTATATTGTTTCGTCGACGAAACTATTCTCATCCTGTGATCGTCATTGTTATCATTATCGTCATATTCATCATAATCATCATTGTTATATTGTATAAAATATTTTTAAAAAGAAGTTGCACAAATATATTTATGATTATAACAATATAATTTATAATAATTGTATAAAATATACATTTGAGCTATACATATATACCTATATACTTGAAAAATTTCAAGGATATAATACATGTTTCTTCTCGAAAAACGTCTAAATTTTGTTCCTTAATGATTGCGCGATCGCGGTAGCAGTTTTTTTAGCGTCATTAATAGTTAGATCGAAAATTATGTTTTATATTATATTTTTAAATAGTTTATCTAAATTGTACAATTATAATTTAGATTATATAAATACAGATATGAATAAAAACAAAGTATTTTTTTTCCGAATAAAGAAAGAAAAGAATAAGTTTTTTTTATAACTTTAATTATTTTTTATGATAGAATGTTGAGTTTTTTATTTTGGCTACATGTATGATTTTGCTAACTTATAACCGATAATGGATCATTCTTTAAACATATAATCTGATATATCGAAACTGCGATATAAACGAATTATTTTAGAATTTTATGAAAATTTATTATAATTAAATTTTACGGTGTCACGGTGTGTGTGTGTGTGCGTGCGCGCGCGCGCGCGTGTGTGTGTGTGTGTGTATGTGTGATAGACGTATCGAACCAAAACTATATACTTACATTATGAAGTAAAAGTAAAAAATATACAATATAACATAGTTTTCAACGGAAAATATTTTATTTTTGAACACAAGAAAAAGAGTAATCATTTCCCATAATTTTTTAACGTAGAATACGAATAATTTTTAATTGTGTTTATTTAAAATTAAGAGTTTTTTAGATCGTTAAATATGAATCTGATATCAAAATTGACTAAATGTATACATTAGTTTTTGCAAAAAATCGAACATTTTAAATTTGACATCTGCCATATTAATTCCGCCATTTTTAATTTATTAATTGTGAAATCAAATTCGTATCCAGCGAATATTTTAATAAATTCTTAAGTTTGAATAAACCTGATTGAAAATTATTTGATAAATCCTGAATGATGAAATTTGCGACTTTTCCGCAATAGACTCTATATATATTTAACATTAAATATCTTATTAATCACAACTGACATAACATATATGTATATTCCTATTGAAGAGGTTGAAAGTTCTAATAATATACTTTGATTGGAACAAAACTTTTGCAATACGTTACATAGATATTGCCGTAGCTATAACAAGTTAAAATAGCCCATTTTCGCAACTTTAAGCAAGAATTTCGAAAATTATGATGTAGCAATTTAAAAGGAATCGTATTCAGCATTAAAAAGACTACGAGAAATGGTTATTTTCTTCCTTGCGTTTTTTTTTGTTGAATTATGTAATTGATCCTATATACATAATACATATGTATAGACATATACTCCGATAGCACAGAGATTGTGTGTCTGTGTGTGTGTGTGTGTTGAAATGTGTGCCATTTTATTGGTAATACATATAGTGTTTAGCTTTTTTATGCTTAACCATTCTCTTTTATGTTTGCGAGGCTCGATTATTAGATTCATTTATGAGAATTTTTACAATATGTCTATATATATATATATATATAGGCAAAAAGTAATTACGTTGGTGCTATATATATATATATATATATATATATTAAGTTTTATATTTTCTTCTCTTATTATCTATTTTATTTTCTCTCTGATTGTGAGAGATAAGTTTTTCACTTCATCCGGATATATATGTTTTGTATATTATTAATTTTAACAAGTGACATATCCAGATGTATAATATATATACTGTACTATAATATATATATTGTAATCTCTCTTGTAGCTAATTTGTCATTTTTATTAAAACTTTTTCAGGATGTGTTTACTAAATAACACATAGGATGTAATATTTATATACGCGAGGAGAAATACAATTATTTAGGAAACTCGTGGAAAGATAAAAGCTTTGTAATATAACTTTTTCAAATCTCTAAAATTTTATAATATATGTAAATATATACATAAGAACAAAAAATAAAATTTTGTGTAATATATATGTATATATAATATATAAAATTATATTTTTTAAACGTAACACTGTGTATTCAACCTTTTCACAAGATGTTAGTTTTCCAAAGTTATAGATAAAATAGCGCGTTTTTGAAAAATTAAAGAAAAATCTATATAGCCGCTATTTATCGTTGATTATCGTTCAAATGGATCGTTGTCCAGCTTTTCTCGTAAAACACCAAGTTGTCAGGCCGATATATATATATTATATTATACACTTAGGCGATTATCCTTGAGATTCGCGCATGCGCTACTGTCAAATTTGTCGTACGCGACGTCACTTTAATCAATATATCGGATGACGTCACACAAAGGGTTTTCACCTGCCCGCTCCGTTGTTCTACGCGACACGGCTACACACTTCGAATCTCTTTTCGTACGCTACTTTTTTTCGACAGTTACATTCTTCATTCTCTCGATCTTTATTCGAATAACGTACGCGTGACAATAATATTCTTATCTACAAAAAAATTTACGAAGAAAGAGAGAAGGCCTTCCTCCTCGTGTGTTCGTGGATATTTCTTTCTCGGGAAAACTTGCGCGCGCGTCTACGCGTTACAAATATCAGTTCTCTTTTTTCTATTTTTTTACGTGTGATATTCGCATTATCTAGATTCTCTGTTCATCATGAGCGGTATGGATTCAATGGCTTCTGTTATACGTCTACTGTCATACTGTCACGCGTTCTTCCCCCTCGTCTTCGGCGAATCTGCCGCGTTGTAGCGTCGAGGAACTACGTTTCCCATCATCGGCGATCGTCGTCGTAGAAAGGGAGCATTTATTTTATTCGAAACCCTTCGTCGATCCGCGTCGTCCGCGCCATCCGTGAGCCAACTGCCACCTCCGCCACCGTCGACGCCGACGCCGACGCCGACGCCTCCACCGCCGCCGCCACCACCGCCACGGAGATCATAGTACTGTCGCGTACCCTCGAGTAACCGAGTAAGTCGAGCGTAGTCCAGTATTCCCGAATCCGCGAATGCGAAGTACGACCTGGACGTATTTCGCCGGCCGCCTCTCGTCACGATGCTACCACTCGCGGTGATCGCGCTCTTCCTCCTCGCCGGCATGACGACCTCCGAAGTCTTTACCAACTCGTTCCTGGTAAGGATGCGGCAGCCAGCGGAGAAGCATGTAGCCGATCATGTAGCACTGAGGAATGGCTTCGTCAATCTAGGATCGGTGAGTGACTACAGTGTCTACTATTTATTCGAGTCCGCTAGAAAAGCGCCGATTTCGATGGCTGTTGGAGAGGAAAAAAAATGAATGACATTATTACTCGATTATAGAGCATACGTTTCATCGAATTTCTAATACGTTTGTTTCTTTTAATTGCATTGTTATTCAATTTTCCATTTTTTTTTTCTTTCAACGCGTCTATAAATTGTTTATTATTTTAAGTACATATTTGTATTACAATTATATATATTGTTTTAATTATATATGTATGTATTATTATTTTAATTATATATTATTTTTAAAGAAATATATCTTTTTATTATTATCGACAAGCTCGGAGTGCCACGCACCGAACGAAATAATCGCGCATCCGAGGCGCGGAGGACCAGGTGAATATAAGAACGCGTAACGATCGGATCGCAGTGACCAGCAACATATTTTATCGAGCTACTTTTCCGCATTCAACGTCACGACAGTTTGACACGTGAACGTTTTCGATTCAGGTAGTGCCGTTTATTCAGAGAAATTGTACTCCCCCATTATATATCTGAACTTTGCCGTCTATTAATAATAGATCTCCATTACACAGACTATTGTGTGAACTAGATTCTTCAATAAATATCCCCTTTACATGCTCGATTTGCAGATATCTATGACAGACGCAAATGTTATAATATTTTCGTCAGCTTTAGTAATGATATCAACAATGTTTTTATTATTTAGGTCTGATTTATTATCGATATATGCAAAAACGACGTAGAGAATAGGACAGATATCTTTTTTGTAACATACCACATTTGTAAAATCTTTGATTTCATCGCGCAGCGCGCCCAATTAACAGATTTGCTCTGTATTTCCAGTTTTTTTTTTAGTGTTATTCGACAGATGTAACCTTTTCGATAGAACGACAGAACCTTTATTGGCATCTCGTGTCAATTGATACAGTTGTACTATTTCACTAGTTTTCCTTGCTTTTTTCTAGAAACCTCAAAAATTAATATTACAATAAATAAATATATACATATATATATATATATCAAAATAAATAAATAGTTTTTCCCAATGAATTTTATAATTTTTATAATTATTCACAGAGAAAGAAAGAGAAAGAAAATAATATGTCAATTATCACTAATATTATTTACGCATATGTATATTGTTTAAAAATAATGCGCATATGTTTCTTAAACTTTCTAATTGTTGATTTTTTAATCGCTAATGCCGTATATTTAGGTTTAGCGAAAATTCTAGAGATATTCGCAGTTGATTAACTTTTAAATACGTAAAGTGTTTTTGTGTGCTCATAATGTTATTTCTCTTCGATAAAATGAATAAATCCGGCAAATGTGTCGCGCGCACTGCAATGCATCTTTAAATATTTAAACAATTTTATTTGCAAAGTTGTTTTGCACGTGTACCTCGCTATTAAAGAATTAAACGTTTCGAAAATTAATCTCTGGCGGTGCGCCACGCGTCAGATTTAGCGCCACGTCTGTCTATGCGTTGACTCACTCCACTGAATGTGAAAACAGCACCGCGATTAAGCTAACAATAAGAAAAAACGAAGAGCGCGAAATATTCTTCTCCGGAATATTTTACTTCGCAAAAGATGAATCGAAACTTGAACGAAATCATTTACGCAGGTTGTGTTCTTTGTTTCGCTTGCGTTCAGCCAACATCTCTGTTTATGAACAGCAGAAACAAGAGAATTTAATTAAATACTAAACTTGAAGAGAATTTAAGCTACACGTAAAGTTTGTCAATAATCAAAAGAGGAATGCAGGCGTTGGTTAAAGGATATTTATCTGATCATTGTTTATATAGAAAGTTGGCAAGTTGCTTCTTTTACAAGTCGTCGAATAGAAAATTTTTTTAATTGGGACTGTCATTTTATGCGACTGAAACTAATCTTCTCAGGTTCCTATGTATATCGCGCAAAATTGTCGGTACATAAATAAAAAAAGATAAAAAGAAAATTGACTAAAATCTTTTATAATATAATTATGGATTGAAAATATTAACAAGGGTAATTTATTAATTGTGCTAATCTAAAAGCTAATCAATACATAAATCAATGGTTAACGCGAGCTGCCACTGGCCAAGTTTGATTAAACTGAGATAGCCTAGTCTTTCGAGACGAGGCGTAAGGCTACTATGAGATCAATACTCGAGAAAATGATGAGATTGGTCTTAAAAATCACAGCACGCAAGAAACTCGAGACAAATATACGGAGTAGAAAGTTATTGATGGTATAATCAAGAAGATGAAAATTTTAAACGATAAAGTATTGCGAAAATATGGGATTATATTTTTTTAAAAGCTTCTCTTTTTTTATTCTTCTCCAAATTAATTTTGGAAATTGATCATATATCATTTTTAAGGACCTAAATAACTTTTTACCATTTTGTGACTTCTAAATCTAACATATTTAAATAGCGGCTATTAAGGTATAACAAAAACATGTAATATTTAAATTGCAAAAAAAAGAGCTATTTGTATAATATAACAAAATCATTTCTGATTCATCGATTTATGGCATATACAGTATCATTAAAAGTTATACAAGTTTATAATGTATTGCTAGATACTTATTGCTAATTTTTCACTTTACAATTTCGATTTTCTCCAAAGCGCAGTTTTGCGTAGACAGATTTTATTTTCTTTTATTCAATTCCTTTTATATGTAGTTTCACTAGTTTTATATAGTTTAACCGCAATAAATTGAATAAGCGAGATACAATTTTGCCAATGTAAAGGAAATTGATATCCCGTAAGCGTTATTTATCGGCGTAGTAACGTAGTTTCTTCCGATTAAAACTGTTTCCTGCCCGTCTCGTACGATTAACTACCATGGGACATGAGGCTAAATTATCGGCGATCGATCGCCTCCATTGCGACGCGATTAATTTTGCCATACATTGGCAGTGACTGATTTTATCTTGGATAACAGGGTAGCAGCTAATGCGATAGATTAAAAGATCTTCCTGTCATTTAACAAGAATTATCGGATCGGTTGTTTTTCTTCGTTTTGCAAATTATATCGCGAACATGACAGTTAATTTTGTAGATGAAAAGAAATAACAAGAAATATGCGTATTCAAATATCTGTGAACCAAAGAACCAGTGAAAAAACCGAGAAAAGCTATTTGAGAAAAAAAGACGCAGGTTTGATCTTTCTTTCTCACTGTTTTTTTTTTCTTACTGTTTTTTTTTTTCAATGTGACAATCATAGTTATCGGGGACGATAAGCCGCAACGAGAATTTACGTAAATGACTCTCATATCAAGAGAATCCTCATTATTCGCAATGAGTCAGAAAATTAATTATTTTATCTCAATAACATTCGGTATTTACCAATGTGGGCGTATCGAGAAAATCGGGATTAACTCTCGAATGGCGTGATAATTGTGCACACAATGCCTGGGTAAATTTTAACCCATAGAGCAATTTTTTTTCCCCGAATAAGATTTTTCTTATTAGATTTTATTTTTATTACACGTAAAACGTATATAAAATACAAACAGCTTTTTTTTTTTTTTAAATGTTGTTTGAATACAATGATTGAAGGAAAAAGAAATATGTTTTAAAGAGAAATCTCTCCCTCTGTTTTTAAAATAAAAAAATAGCTCTTGTTTATCGTAATTCTGTGAAAACGAATATTTGTGAAAATGAAATATTTGTCTCGATTGTATCTCTCTCGTGTGTGCGTGTGTGTAAGCTTTATAAAGTAATTTTGAGATATGGGTCATATGATGACCCGGCGGCAGAGAGTTAAAGATATATCGCTCATCGGTTTTTAGTCTATATATTGATAAAAATTCCGCTTTTTCAGAGATTGCTCCTCTTTCTCGTTTTCACTTTTTTTTTTATATGTGCTTTTCTCCTCTCTATTTTTACAGAGAGATATTCAGTCTACTTTATCTATTCCTTTATTCCGCATTCTATGCTGTCATCATTTTTCTATTATTTTTGAGAATTAATATGCCAGTTATTATTATATTTGCATCGAAACTCGAGAGATAAAATATTTTTATTCTTTTCCGAATTGAGGTAAAATTTCAACATCGCGAAAACAAGACAAAAGAAAGGAAAATAAGATTTCCGTTTCAAACTATGCTCTCTGTTAAAGGTTTTGGGCAGTCAGACGGAGTATCATTTCGTACATAGAGCTTTACCTCATGTACGAAGCAAACGATCTGTGCCACACACGCGAAGATTAAAGGTCGACCCTTTGGTAAGTTGATATCTTCCTCGCGAGATCTATGCGATGATCGTCATTACACGGATTATACAAGGAAAATTATCATTAATTAAAACGTTAATTCAAAAAATTAAGATTCCAGTTCCGCAGTTTTTCATTTTGGACAAAAATGGAACTTGAAAATTTTAATAGGGCAAGAATATATTCATATCTCCTCAAAACCATGCAACTTTTGTCTGAAATATTTTTTGATGTCTCACTTCGTTTCCGAAAAATATGCCCGCGTCACTATAAATGCCTCACCCTGTATAAAAATACTGGTACTTCTAAAGCCCGCTCGTTAAACGAAAGATATATAATTTATGACAAAATCCTAAAAACAAAATTTTATTTAGAATTTTATGCGTAATGTATAATATACAGAAATATTTGAAGAATATATACGCACGTACAAATTATGTGTCAGTGTACGCACATATATATTAGGATATGCGGCCTATTAAAATTATAAATATAGAAAATTCTACCTTTATGAATTTTTATGACGGATTATACATTTTTATTTAAAAAACGAACTTTTAAAAGAGAAAAGAACAGATAGATACGAAAGTCATTAAAAATACAATAATAACTCAGGTGGCCACGGCGATACAGCAGGCTGGTTTCAAGAGAGTGAAAAGGGGCTATAAACCTCTGAGCGTAGACAACCTTATACCATTGTACGAAATTAAGAATCCGACGAATCTCGGAAGCAAAGATCCGACGGATCCCTTCTTCAAACATCAGTGGTATTTGAAAAATGTCGGACAGAATGGCGGTAAACCGAAGCTGGATCTGAATGTCGAGGCTGCGTGGGCTCAGGGTATCACGGGAAAAAATGTGACGACTGCCATCATGGACGATGGTACGTAAACAGGATATTTTTCGGTTTTTTTTTCGGATAAACGAGACCTCTCAGCCGGAGTTATTTCGACGTCAAAACAGCGTTAAATTACACACGCTTGAATGCAAGTTTGCGAACCAGCGGCTGTTTGAATCGATATTGCTGAGGGACGAGTTATGCAACACTCTCTCATTTTACCGAGAAACGAGATATATATTCATCCAACTCGTCTGCGCGTAAAAGCAGTCGACAAAAAATACAATAAGATCGTCGTAACCGAGTTCTTTTAATGATTTGACTTTTCCTTAACAAAAGAACGAATTTGCCAGTTTGCTTTCTTTTTTTGAGGAGCTTTTGTGTTTCGTTGCATTGCGTACGATGCACGTGACAGCGCATAAAGATCTCCTCTTGTCACCGCTACGTAATGCATCCGTAACATATGTACGCACTAACTACAACGTTTTATTGCAGGTGTCGATTATGTGCATCCGGATCTCAAATATAATTATGTAAGTGTTCTTACTCATCCTGGTAATAAGCTGGTATCAAAAAAAAATTGTTATGTTTGTATTTTAAATAAAGTCAAGAGATCAGGGTTTTAAAAAAGTTGTGTTTAAACCAACAGTGAGAGGTCATTTCGATTGATAAAAAATTTGACTCTGATATTATAATTTTGTTTCTAATTTTATTTGACAAAAACGACCAATCTTTTGCACCAATCTAACTAATTGCATATTAATTTAACAATTATTATAACGGTGACGAAAAAAAAATTGAAAAAAAATTTATATGAAAATGCACATTAAAATGCAGAACTAAAATGTCTGTCAGTAGTATTTTTTCTGTTTAAATCTGCAAGTTTAATTCAATATTGATAGCATTTACGTCATAACTAGAGAGAGAGAGAGAGAGAGAGAGAGAGAGAGAGAGAGAAAGAATTTCAAATATTCCTTTCGTAATTTCGCACAGATGCCATTCTCGGCGCAGCTTACATGCAAACATGTTGAGAATTCAAAATCAGAGAACGATAGAACCGCGAGTCGAGCGGACAAAAATTAGTAATTGCTTATGGTATTCGAGAGAAAAAAAAAGTTTGGTTATCCGTCTTTTTGTAGCAGTTGGCGTTTAAATTTATGTAATGAATTTTATGCAAAACTTAATATCAAAGTAATTTTTCATTGCACAGTTTTCATAATTCATATTAATAGAATGAATTTTGTGATTGGGTTGATTCTTAATTTAAACGGTGAGACTACACAATTTTGCGGATTCTAAATAAGCAATTACTTGGTTACAAATTAGCGATCATGAATCATTGATGTCGATGCCCCCGTTCGGTTTCAGAACGCTAAGGCTTCTTACGACTTCAGCAGTAACGATCCTTATCCGTACCCGAGATACACCGACGACTGGTTTAACAGGTAAAACCGTAAAAAAAATTGAATCAGAAAAATTTATCAAACAAAATGGATAATCGAGTCGATGAGTAGGGTTGCCACCCGTACTTTAAAATAAAGTATTGTACGTTATTTTGGACGTACATACTTTATATTTTGTAAAGCAATAAAGTACGCTAAAATACTTTATTTTACGAATACTAAGTTTTCATTAACACGTTCACGGCGGATGTCACCGTGTCACGTATATGTGATTTATTACTATGAGCGCATTCCGTTTCACGCATTGAGCGCATAGATCGCCTGGAAATCTATAGTTCACGTAACATATATTAGAGGAACAAAGCTTCTCTAAATTTAATTAAAAATGAGTTGTTGATATATTTAAATTTACATATCGGTTGTAAAGACGCTGTAGAAATCTCTAAAAAAGACAAACACTTATTAGATATTGCTAAAAGTAATAAAAAATATGTATAGAAAAATAAATAATATAAAAAATATATGTACTTTTTTTTATTTAACGTACTTTTTTTTCGTTCTCAAAGGCGTTACATACGTTATTTGTTTTTAAAAAAGGTGGCAACCCTATCGATGAGTGAAAATTAAACGAATGCAAGGTAAAAATAGAAGAAGCGTTTGTTTAAAAGAAATTTACAAAACCGGAAATGCAGAGAAAAGTTAATTAAATTAGACGAAATTATTTATTCACAAGTAAATAGTAAAAAAAAAATCAAACGTGAAAAAAATTGAAATTAAATTAAACGAGATTATTTGTTTAAAAGTGCACAATAAAAAAAATCGAATATGGAGGAAAGTTAATTGAATTAAAATGTGAAATAGATAAACGATGAGTCGTATGAGAGAAAGTAAAACAATTGCTTTTAATGTAAGGTAGAAACAAAAGCGTTTGTTATAAAAGATAAAACAAAAGCACGTCCTACATTTCGTGAAATTGCATCATCACTCGCGTAATGATCGGAATGTGAGTAAAAATAATTTTTTTTCACGACGTACTTTTATCAAAGCCATGGTACGAGATGCGCCGGGGAGGTTGCGGCTGCGCGCGATAACGAAGTTTGCGGCGTCGGGGTGGCGTACGATTCCAAGATCGCCGGGATCCGGATGCTGGATCAACCCTACATGACCGATTTGATCGAGGCGAACAGTATGGGCCACGAACCCGATCTCATTGATATCTATAGCGCCTCCTGGGGACCCACGGACGACGGGAAAACGGTGGACGGACCGCGAAACGCGACCATGAGAGCCATTGTACGCGGCGTTAATGAGGTACACATTGTCTAATTACTCGTGCATGAAAAGTACATTCGCGCGATGGAATTATTAATACAACTGGTATGTTTAGCAACAAAATTATTATTGAATCAGCGAGGAAAGCTTTATTGTTTTAAGAAGCGGAAAAAGAAATAGAGAAAAAAATGTATTGAAACAGAGGCAATAATTTTAACTTTATTTGCCGATCCATTATTTGCAAGAAGAAAAAACAAACCCATTAAAAATGTCGTAATACCGGTATTCAAAAAATTTAAAAAATTATTTTATTGTTAAATACGTATATATTGAAAAGGATTTTGCCGTTGGGATGATTGTTTCATATCGCGTATACTTATCAGGGCAGGAACGGTCTGGGTAATATTTATGTCTGGGCTTCCGGGGATGGCGGAGAGGAGGATGATTGTAATTGCGATGGATACGCCGCTAGTATGTGGACTATCAGTATCAACAGTGCCATTAATGACGGTCAGAATGCCCACTACGACGAGAGCTGTTCTAGTACCTTAGCTTCTACTTTTAGCAACGGTGCCAAGGATCCTAACACAGGAGTGGTAAGCAGCCTTTTTGGATTAGAGAGAAAATTAGCTACATTTCTTTCTTGGAGCGATTTTGTTCAAGAAGAAACACGTTGCATTTAATGTATTAAATATATTCAAAGAAAAAGATTACTCTCGGACAAAGAAAGACGTTTCATTTAGCGATGTTTTTCTCTTCTACGTAGAATTATCTCTAAAAAAACGGGATGAGTAAATATGTTTTTTATTTACTATATGTTCTTCTCATAGGCTACTACAGATCTGTATGGAAAATGCACGACGGCTCATAGTGGGACGTCCGCCGCTGCACCGGAAGCTGCGGGGGTGTTCGCGCTAGCTCTCGAAGCCAAGTAAGTGTATTCTATTTTCGTTTCAATGTCAGAAACATACGTAAATTTTAAAATGCATAAAAATTTTAAGCGTCATATTGATGCTTATAGAGAGAGTTGGATCAATAAAAAAAATTCTTCCATTACAATTCCATGCGTCAACTTAAGAGCTTTCATTTCTAGCTCGCAATTAACCTGGAGAGATATTCAGCACCTGACCGTCCTAACTTCAAAAAGGAATTCTCTGTTTGACGCGAAGAACAGATTTCATTGGACCATGAACGGCGTTGGGCTCGAGTTCAATCATCTTTTCGGATATGGCGTTTTGGATGCGGGCGCTATGGTGGCGCTGGCTAAAAAGTGGAAGACGGTACCACCGAGATATCACTGCGAAGCTGGATCTATGATGGAAACGCAGTGAGTAGCCGTCTCAGATCAACGATTAATGAGATTGAGAATCTATCGCAATCTGCGATATCAATTTTAATAATTTTTTCATTACAATTCCACGTTGCAGTTATGAGAATTTTCATTTTTAAACTATAATATATATATTTTCATAATATATATAATTTCTATATATATACAATATTTTCTAGACAATCTAGAGAATAGATTTTTCTTAAGAAGTATCTGAATCCGAATCGTCGGTCCATCTTTCTCGAGCTGTTTGATTTTCTAGGCAAGTCACGAGCGACCGATCCATCCTCGTGAAGATTAAGACCGATGCATGTGCCGGAACGGAATACGCTGTCAATTATTTGGAACACGTGCAAGCCGTCATTACCGTAAATGCAACTCGGCGCGGTGATCTCGAACTGTTTCTTACGTCTCCGATGGGTACGAGGTACGCAATAAATTTTTAATCTTTCTCTTCTATCTTTTTCCTAATAAATTTCTCTTTTCCTTTTTTTAATTCAATCGGGCCGACCGATTATAAATAAATAAAAAGATATCCGTAATATTTTCAGATCTATGATCCTAAGTCGTAGAGTGAACGATGACGATCACAGGGACGGATTTACAAAGTGGCCGTTCATGACAACGCATACGTGGGGCGAGTATCCTCAGGGAACTTGGATGCTAGAGGTAAATTTTGCGGGCATGTGATTTGCGCGAAAACAAAGGCTGAACATTGAAATCTTTTAGGTAAGTTTCAACACGCAGAAACCCCAACACGGATGGCTGAAGGAATGGACGTTGATGCTCCACGGTACCAGGGAACCACCATACACGGCATTATCAACTGCGGATCCTCACTCGAAATTAGCGATTGTCAAAAAGGCCCATGAGGAGCGACTGAGCGCAATCTAATGACATTGACGACGGTCCAACGCGATTATCGCCGATTCAGGCGACGAAAATGGGAATATTCCGATCGAAAGATGTTTACGCGAGCGCTCCCCTTTCCGCTTTTCTAATTTCGCGTCGCGCGGCTGAATTAACAAATATATTCCGATCCAGTTGCGCGACGACCGCATCACCCGTGCCAATCTCCATCGTCATTCGTTATTTTACAACAGGCTGTCACCTATTCGTATCGAGATCGTTGAAGAGAAGTAGATTCACTCTTTACTGGAATCGCGTTTGTCTAAGTACGGTGTCAACAATAATTACATATCATGTCGTTTATATCCAAACTTACATTATTAAGAATGTAGATTTCTATATCGAATGTTTTTTTTAAACGCTCCTCTACCGAGAAAAAGATTAACCTATTATCACTCAGCGATCCAGTTGAAAAACAGTTTTGTTTGCATCCTTCTGAAAAATTCTGATAAAATATGCGAGATATATATTCCGCTTACAAAATTAGATACGATTATTTTAATCTCGATGCATCTTTTACGATTTTTCAAACTCTTTGTTCTATCTAATCAGATACTAAGCAGAAAAAATCAGAAAGAAATTAATTTGCGTACATATGTAATGAGCTAAAATCTTTGTTAAGATGTTTTAATTTCGCTATTATTGGATATTTACAATTATACTTATTATTTATCCATTTTTATCCATTTTTATTATTATTATTATTATTATTATTACAAAGTTCAGACAAAAGAAATATGTGAGAAGTATCATTTTGTTAAAATTGTGTCCGCGTTGACAGCTTTCCGAAGAGTTCTCAAGTCGACGATCAAAACTAGATGATTTGGGGGAACAACAAGGAGAAGACCGATGAGGCGGTAAAACTCGAGGCATTAACTTTAACGGGACGTTATCGAATCGACAACGCCTGCGAAAGAATATCCCGGGAACAAGAGTTTCGTGTCGATCATTGTCGTCCTCGCGAACTATGATCTCGAAGGACCGATTATTCGCAAAATGTATACTTTTTAACGGCATCGTAATAATATCTTAAATGCGCCAATGGCAATGTTTTTTTTCCCCTTTTATTTTTTGTATCACCACTTCATCAAAACTCTGCATTCGAAACTCGAATGAATGTTTAGGATAGAGAAATGTCATCTTACGGATTTTTTCCTCTGAATATCACCTGAATGACAAAGATCGCCCCGCTGCCGATGCTTAAGGCTTAAATATCGATGCTTCATAAAGAGTATTCATTTGATTTGACTCTGTCTCTGATGTGTGCTTAAGAGAAAAAGAGAGAGAGAGAGAGAGAGAGAGAGAGAGAGAGAGAGAGAGAATCTAATATCTTGATTTGTTCGCTCATTTAACTTAAAGCGAGCGACGAAGAGAGATACGCGAGGACGTCCGTGACGAACACGAGAACGCGAAATACGGATGCTACAGAATCCGCATGTGTAGATGATGTACTTTAGAAATCGTAGCGGACAGAGAGTTTGAACATTACATTAAATTATATAAATATAAATGCATATATATATATATATATATATAACTAAAATATGCGTATATGTATATGTGTGTATAGGAAGGATATCCCTGTCGCTGGTCGCATTATTAAGCGACAGATTTCTTGAACAATTTTTTGAAACGAAAATTCTAATGCGAAAGAACGTCGAGACTTTCTGAAATTTTTAAGATGACAAACGATTATAAAGTTAAGCGATTACAGTGGCTAAAGTTCGAATTAACTTTAATCGCTTCTCATTCGAGAAGGTATTGTAGCTCTGACATTTTTTTCGTACATCTTCGTTTCTCCAAATTATCTAAGGATTCCGCCGAGTTAATGTATATGTTATATACAGAGCGAGACACTTAATCTTTATGATGTAGATTATTTCTCCGTTCAAGACATTTTTCGATGATTGCGGGTGTAATAGAAATAATCCAAGTCATAAAAGTTAAAAT